GTCTGTGGCTCAGAGTCCCAACCCCGCGTATAAATGCACATAGATCTAGGTATAACTTTAGCAATACATGTGGATACAAAAAGGGTCTCGAGGGCTTAAAGATGCAATTCTTCAATTATCACAGCTTGATTAACTGCAGCCCTGCGGTCCCAAAGCTTCAGAGTTTACGCTTTCCACTTATGAGTTTTCCACATTGAAAAGCAGACCCTCCAGCTCTGTGTACCTTCAGCAATCACGCGTGTGCTCTTGCAAACAGGACGACAGCCAGGCTCATTTCAGGGCAGTGACTTTTAAATAAAACCCTCTGGCCAGGCACATGGCTCACGCCTGTCATCCCAGCACTTTGGGAGGCCAAGGCAGGTAGATCACTTGAGGTCAGGAGTTCAGGATCAGCCTGGCCAACATGATGAAAACCCATCTCTACTAAAAATACAAAAATTAGCCAGGCGTGGTGGCGTACACCTGTGGCCCCAGCTACTTAGGAGGCTGAGGCAGGAGAATCGCTCGAACCAGGGAAGTGGAGGTTGCAATGAGCTGAGATTGCACCATCTTATTCCAGCCTGGGCAACAGAGCAAGACTCCATCTCAAAAAAAAAAAAAAAAAAAAAAAAAGCCCTTGAAAAATTTGTTGACTCAATGTCATGAAAATAAAAATGTGTGCATATTAGTTAAAGTGGATGTTCAGAGTTTCTATAAACATATTTCTGCATAAAGTTTCAACGCAAGCAGCCTCCAGCACAGGCTCAATGGCATTTGTCTCCTTAACTAGGGTCTTTCTTAACGAAAACGCAGAACGGACTTCTTCACCCCCTAGGAACAGAGCGCCTCACCACTGCACCACGGGTGTGGGAAATCCTTGCACCGTAAAACAAAGCGTCACAGACATCCTCTCCCAGACGGTGTGGGATCGCAGCCGCACCAGGATCTCAGGAGCCCTGCTTATCCGCTCTTCGAATGTGTGTCTCTCCCAGGCCAGCTTGTCCTCCATCTGCCCCGAGAAGCAAGGATGGTCAGGTTCCCAGGCAGCGAGCCACGCTCCGCCCTCGGCCCTTTGAGCACCATGCAGACAAGCTAAGATCCAGTCCACGCATCCCAGAGACCCAGCCACCCTGAGACCCTCCTACCATCTGCTGAATGGCGTATTTGTCCAGCTTGTCGCGGGCCTGGGAGCGTGCCAGGTGGACGTTCTCCTCCATGTGGGCCAGCTCACTGAGGAAGCGCTGTCGCTTGGCCTCGCCATAGGCGGCCACCAGGGATTGGTACCTGCAGGAGCCAAGAAGCGGCCTCAGTTTCAGGAGTCGCAGAGAAAACCACGGGGCCCCTGGAGGCTAGAAAGAGCAGGCCGTTCTCTCCCCTGGGATTTCCTTAAATGCGTTCAAGAAGAGAACAGGAGAAATGCTACTTCTGCTCATCTGTATCTATCGTCAAGAGTATATTTTGGTGTGTGAATGCCATGCATGATGAAGTTGTAAAGAAGAACGTGTATGTGATTTATTAATAAAAAAGAAAATACAGGAGGTGCCAGCCCCAACTTTCTTTCACCACCGAGAGTGCACAATTGCAACCGCTTGGAGGCCCTCAGAGATGCTTTGGAGAATTGCTGTGAGCCTCAAAAGACAACAGGCACCCACTCAGAGTCGGGAAGTCAATCTGCTCTCTTAAAAACAGAGACATCGTTCCTCATCTTCGCGTGCCCAGAAACTCGCATGCCGCAGGTGCTCGGTAAAGACAGGGCACCTCGGGAAATCGGGGAAGATTTGTGGATTTATCAGACAAAGGGCTTGATGCTTTCCCAGGTCTGAGACTCAAAACTGTTAGGTGCTGCTGGGCTAGGGGTGCTTCTGAAGTCAGTTCCATGATTTGAAAATTTAGGAAAATGGTGATGTCCCTTTGTGTGAGTTTTCCTCTGCAGGGCAGCAAATAAAAGCTATGTGTTTTCCTGGGAAGGATGCAGTTTCTGAGGGATTTTAAGACTGAATTAAAGTATTTTGAGTTCAAAAAAAACACAGATAAGAAATGTCTGAATGCTAAAAATAATAATAAATAAAGGATTAAATAAAGGATTCAGCATCTTCAATCCGTAGGGACTCAGAAATGTCCACATCCTCACAGCTCACGTGCCATCTTGTGAACCCCACAAATCGCACCCCAACACTGCCAGGCCCGGGCTGCCTCCATGCTCTGAGATGCTCTGGAAACCCTGCAGCAGCTCTTTCAGCCTCATCTCCCTCCCTCACTGTCATGTTCCCAAAGTCTCCCTGAAATTAGGACGCTCGCTGTTCTGCTGCCGTCTTGGGATTCTGTCCCACTCGCGAGAAAAGTCTCGCTGCCATCCCTTTCAATCAAAACTCTATCCTTCCTTCAAGGCCCATCTCAAATGCCGTCTCTCCCGTGGAGCCATTCCTAATTCTCCCCGCTCTGCCTTAAACACCAGACCTCTTTTTATTTCTCTTAGGGCCTTTATGATCGTAATTTGCATACATTTCATCCTTCCCGGGAGAAAGGATTGGCTACTTCTCACCTCTGTATTCCCCAGATTCAGTACACAGATGACTCATAAATACTCAGTAGTCTAAGCTAGGCTGCGGGAGGTTGGTTCCCGAGTGGCAGGGACGGGAAGCTGCACAGACTGCCTGGGAAGGAGGCGGTGGAGGGAAAGGTGGTGGAGACGGAGCGCTGCCTGCGGTACTGTGTGAGCCACCAAGAGGCTGTTCGGCCAGGGCCACACCGCACAGAAAGTCCCAGTGTCGAAGCTGGAGCAGACCACAGGGTCATGGCTGTCCAGAGACATGGGGAGGGCTGTCCGAGACCCGCTGCAGGTTGGCGGTAAGGGCTGTTGGAGGCCCAGGGTGCAGGGCCTCCGTCTGAGGTGCTTCCACACCTCACACAGCTCCCATGGACCAGCGCTTCCCCTGCAGCAAATAAGACTAAGGCCTGGTGTGAGGCATTTGGGAAATTTGCAATCAGAATTGCAGAAAAGTCTGCAGCCTCTTCGTACAGAAACAGGGTGGGAGGAACACTAAAATCTAACCATAAAAGGAATGTGGATTTCCCTTCTTAGGAATCTGGGATCTCACCTCCCACCTCCCTGTCCCCGCTCAGATCCGACACACCGCCTTTCCCTCCAACGTTTAGGGAACAGTCTCTTTGGGCCTCCGCTGTTCTGCATGCCCTGTGCCTGGGGCAGATTCCCCCCAACCCCTAATGGGCTGGCTTCTGCTCCTTCTGCTTTCAGCACACGGGTCTCTCCCTCAGAGACTCTCCCCTGCGGCCACCCTCAAATCACAGCCCTGCTGGTCTCTTTCATACGTCATCATCCTCCTGCAGAGCACGTGCCACTGCTGTAAGCACATGCATGTGCATGTTAAATGACACCAGCCCTGTACTGTGACTCTGAATCCCAACCAAGTGGGAAAATGCCCACTTCGTTCCCCAGTATCCCGGTACTTGGTTCCCCCAGTATCCATGTACTTGGTTCCCCCAGTATCCATGTACTTGGTTCCCCCAGTATCCATGTACTTGGTTCCCCCGGTATCCAGGTGCCAGATGCCAGGGGGAATTCTAGGAATATGTGTTCAAGAAATGAGCTACGGCGTCAGACGTCCTGCATGGAACAAGCCTTCTTACGGGGAGTGAATCCCACTGACTTGCAGGGATCGAGAAGGCAAAGTTTGGTCTGTGCCCCGCAGCGCCTTGAACGTCTTCTCTGGATGCCGTTTACATTTCTATGGGCTCTTTATGTTTGAGTTACAACAGCCTCAGCTTATTCTTAAGTCAACAGCACCACTATCCTCTAACCCTCTATGATTCAGAATAACTAATTGGTCTGGAATTCCTCCCACACCCAACCCCAAGTCAGGGCATTGAGGAAATATTTCTGCCGGTCGATGATCAGTTGACCGTGACTTCAGCCCACATGTGCAGAGTGACGTCATTTGTCATGTACTGATTGCAAACGACAAGCCCTGAGACAGGTTGCTTGCAAGATTCGGGGGGAGGCCCATTTTTCACTGGAACTGAAGGAAGATGTCAGAGAGACATTTCCAACAGGCCATATCTTCCAGAAGGATGTGTTGAGTGCCTTCAGAGCGCTGACGTCTCTTCAGTATTTATTTTATACAGGGACATCAGCAGTAACTCACATCAGTGAGCCCACAATTTCATCTTTTGCAAAGGACCCACTTGTCTAGTGCATTAAACTAATATCCACCTTGGGAGGTCGGGGATAAATACATGCTTGCAATGATGCTTGCGGCCCATGAGAGTGGTGAATTCTAATAAGGACTGGAATCCACGGAGCTGCTCACATCACTCAGCACGGGGCTCACTCATCCCTCCCGGGCCCTTCTGCGCGACAGTAATAGAAGAGGCTTCACAATAAATCTCAGTTAGTGGTTGCCCAACTCACTGAGATCCCCACGACTTATGTTTACCTTTAAAGGAGGAAAGAACTGATTTCAAAACCACCTTCCCCGTGGAAGACATGCACATGGGTTAGGAGAATACAACACTGGGGGGCTGCTGAAGAAAATCTCATGGAGAGCGTGAGCCGTGGGCTCCGCACAAAGCTGGGACAGCCCCTGGGCTTCGTTCCCTGTCTCTGCTATGTACAAGAGAGACTGGCATTTAACGTGAGCATCAGAGGTGCAGTGAGAACATAACCCATCACGAGTCATTCAAATCCCTTCTTTGAGTCAGATTTGGTATTGCAAGAGCATAGCCCGATGTGTTTTAGGACAATTTCCAACAGCCAAGGCTGTCATGAAAGTCCTTGCTGCCGAAACCATATGAATCACAGTAAGCCACTCACTGTTACCGTTTTACCAGCGGGGAAACTGAGCGATAGGAAGTTTATGCAATACGTTCAAGGCCACATCAATGTTTAAATGATAAAAAATAAAATGATAAGCTCAAGTATTCTATTGTGGCCCCCAAAACCTAAATATAGGTGGAAGAACCCTTTAATCCAATCCGTAAAAATCTGGATGGTGTTAACGTCTACATTTCAAACAGATTCTTTCACAAAAGAAATCTTCACTTTAGAATTCATTTACATGGCAAAATTATCCTATGACATTTTTAAAAATTCAAATTTTTTAAAATAAAGGTTAACCTCCTTGGCTATACATTGTTTGTATTCAACAGATGGCTTCATCATTCTGAAACTTTCAAAGTGAAAGATGTTTACTCGAATCTCATTTTTCCTTCAGGTTTTAAGTGCTTTGAAGCTATAGATAAAATTCCCAGAAGTAGCAGGGGGAGATGAGGGAAAAAATATAGCAGGTATAAAACAAGGCATCCGTGAACATTTAACTGTTCACTTCGTCCTTAAAAGATCAAAGCAATGTCACCACCTGTTTCTCCGTCATCTGGAAATAATTTTAAGACTGGCATTTTTATTAATCCATCCCGTTCCTATGACATTTAGCCCCATGAGCTGCCTCTGTTGAAATGTAAAGCATGACAATTTATAGAATCGCTTCCCAACTCTTTAGTTTCCACACAACAACTGTTTAAAACCCTGGCTCCCGCTCAGGAAGATGACCTTGCTCGAATCTCAGCCCTCCGCGGCTGCTCCTGCATAGCTGCAGAGGTTGCAAGTGGAAATTCAGAATTAATCTCATGCTGCTAGGTCTTGATGTTTTCAAGCGTGCTTATCCTGCTCTGTGTGGAGAGGGGCTGAGCTTGGCTTAGAAGCCGCAGACCCTGGAGCTCTAAGCCCGGCTGGGACGTGCGTGAGACACGGAACCCCGAACAGTGGCATGAGCGCTCTGGACAGCAACGCTCTCTTCTGCAAAACGGTGGGAAGCTTGTGCCCAGTGGTTTTCTTGTTCGGATTAATTGAGATAATGATGGTAAAGAGAAGCAGGTGATTGGGAAACAGCAGGGTTCTCCCTCGCCCCAGGTATGGCCTGTGTTACTCCGTCTTCCCTCTCAGCTAAGGTCACTCTTCCCTTCCCTCCTCACTGTCCCTCCACTGCGACACCACTCGGGGCACAGGCAGAGTCAGGGAAGCCACGTGCTCACCTGCTTCTGTTCTCCTGCTCCTCCTCTTCCTGCGTGCTCACCCGCTTCGCACAGACTCTGCAGGTGGTTCCTCCCAGGGACGTCTGGCTGGAGGCTCTCTGCGAAGATGACCGTTGACTCAGGGACTTCTGGGAAGATGCCTGGGTGGAGGCTCGCCTTCAGGAACATGGACACAATTAGGAGATGCACGCGCAGGCACAGTACAGAAATTTATCCTGACACACATCACTTTCTCTCTACACACCCCAAACCACTCATATACGCAGAGCACACACAAGCACACACATGCGCAGGCATATGAGAGGCATGCACCTAAACACATATATGCACATGCCCACACACACGTGTGCGGCCACACATGCACGCATATGCAAATACACACATACACACGTGTATGCAAATAAATGCATAAATGCAAGGACGTGCCTTCCCACAAGCACATGCACACGCATACACACACTCGTGTGCACACATAAACACACCTACACAAGTGCACACACGCTTGCACACAGGCATACCAAGCCTGTGTCCCTGTGTGCCCACACCCACACCCACACACACCCGCCCTGGGGTGCTTTCTCCCTGAGCTCACTGTGGCTGGTGCCACCTCCCCTCAGAGCCAGCCAGTGCCGGCCACAGTCCTTCTGGCTCCATGCCAGGATTATATATATCTTGAGGGATTTGAGACACCCCAAGGCTGCTGGGAGGGGCTGCAAATGTTTGGCTTTGTTTGGTACAAGGGATGGCAACTAAATAAAAGTACCCTAAGCGTTTCTAAATATAGGGTGTGGGTGACAGGAGGCAGGCACCTGGGCCACAGAACGACTGCCTGTGGTCCCTCCCTCTCTTCACCACAGCCTTCCAATCAGCCCATTAAGATTGCAGATTTGCTGCTAGACAGTGTCCATGGGGGCGTGAGCTGCCATCCTGGATGAGGCCATCCCCAAGAAGCTTCCAGAAGGTGCGGCTGCACACCGGCCCCAGAGGCAGAGATTCTTGATCTTGGCACATCCATGATCAATGTAGCAAAATCACTAATATTGCCTCCCATTCCATCTTTACTTTGCCACCCATTAATTTCTCTCCTACCGACAGCCTTTCCCACTAGTTTCAACCTCATTTATCTTTATCTTGGGTGGCTTTTTAGATCCTAGTTCTGGAAGGCATGCGATGAGCAGTAAAATCAATGAGCTTATACAAAGGACTTCCTGCCTCCCCACCTCAACCAGGAGCTCAGAGCCCGGCCAGCAGGACCTGCCAGGACACGGCGCCAGCTCCACACAATGCGGCTGCATGGCGGGACCTGGGCACGGGAGAGGCTGCCATCTCTGCTCTCTGACTCCTGCAAACCCGTGCCTCTGCAGGGCTGACAGGACTGGAAAAGCTGTTAAATGTCAGACCCCCATAATCAAAGCCCTGCGCGTCTCATCAGCCAACGTCAGCTTACTTTTTTGACGCATATTCATCCAGCAGGTACCGAGTTTGAATATTACGGTAGGACTGGTCGAAGTGCCTGTGTCTCTTCTGGTAGAAGGGGACGGCCACAAGGGACATCTTGGCGTGCTCCTACAAAGAGAGTCACACACAATACTGAGCTCCCTCGCAGGCATCACGAGGCCTCTGCAATTTCTGCATCATTCCCAAGGAGAAAATGAACTCCAGTTAATCAAACCCCCTTGGGAAGGGGAAAAAACGGAAGATTACGTAGCCAGAAATCACCTTAGACCAGCAGTCAGGAAGCCTATTAACTTCCCAGGGATCCAACTTTATTTTTTGTTTTCTTCCATAACAGTTGGAAGATTGGGCTGGTGTTTCATTTAACTGTGAACTCAACAAGTATTCCTAGAACCCCTGGTGTGTTCAGGGCAAAGTTCAAAGCAATGTGAGTGGGAAGGACAAAAAGAATTAAAGCAGATTAGAGAAGTAAACAAACACTTACAATACAAGAGAACATACGATAAGAGCCAAGAGCCCGGGGGAGATAGAAGGTGTCCTGGGAATGGCAGGAGCCGAGGACGGCCGAGTGGCCCGCGAGGCAGGTGACATTTGAGAGGAGCCTTGGTGGACAGGCAGGACTGCCAGGCGGAGGTGGGAAAGGAGGGCAGCCCGTGAGCAAAGGTTGGGGCAGGAGAATCCAGGATCGTGGGAGATTTGCAGGGGTGTGACCAGAGATCACTGTGGAAAGATGCAGCCGCAAGCAGAGGTGGCTGGTGTCTGGCTGGGGAGCCGGGGGTTGTTCCACCACGCAAAGGGGGACATGGGAAAAGGGACTGGCTGGAGACGCCCCCTGGAATCTGCCGTCTGAAGTCTCGCTGGTTACAGTAGATGGTGTGGCAGGAGGTGAGCAGGAAAGTGAGGACGGAGCCTGGCATCAAAGCCTCAGGGATGTGGGGAAATTCGAGAGCGTGGATGAAATTCTCCCCAAACAAGAAATTATCGAGTTCCATCCTTTTCTCTGGGAACTTGTGGCATTACAGGTATTAGACATGGCAATCTGTTGTACATGTTCACCCAGAATACGTAAAATGCCAACATGCTGAGTGACTCGATCATCGCTACAAAGCGATGCAGGGACCGTATTGCTAAATCTCTGCAGTCATTAGTTTCCCAAACAAGGTGCGGAAGGACTCACAACCTGAGCTCCATTTTTGACTCTTCTGTTTAAACGAGAAGAATCTGTCCTTATTTAAAGACAGAACTCCTCGGTAAGGCCTCATGGCACAGCTGCAGGGAGGCCACCCACATCCCTGCCCAAGGGAATGGGACTTGGGTGGAAAATGCCAAGCGCTGCTGGGAGATGAATGTGTCATTGTTCGGATCTCCAGGGTACATGCTAGAAAACCTACCACAACACATAAATTGCCCCAAGGACACTCCTTACGATCTGTTTCCTTTGAACTCTGTGATCTCCGAGAACGACAGTATTGTAGAACTTGGAAAGATCACTAGGGATTATCCAAACGCCTGTTCTACAGGGAAGAAAACAGCACACACAGGCCAGAAGGAGAAATTCTTCCTCAAAAGCATGTAGAAGAGGCTACCCCTGCCCCAAGGCCTTCCTTATTCTGGGCCTTTATTGCTCTGCCACACTCACTCTCTCAATATTGCCTCTTAAAACTCAACTAGTCAACCAACCACCCCCCCCCGGGAGGGCCCAGCTGTGTTTCAGAGTGCGCCAGCATGCATTCTACTCCAGGGATATAACAGAATGTGGCACCTGACGGAACACAGTAAAAGCACATCTCCTCTGCCCGCCCCAATACCGAAGGCGGCATCATCGCGCAGAGGTCAGGCACCCAGGTTTTGACGTCTGGTAGACCTGGGATCGAATTCTGACTCCAGCATTCGGATGAGGCCTGGGTAGCTTCTAGCTCCTCTAGCTCTGGTGTTCCATATTGAATCTGCACCACGCCTGGCACTGGCCCTGGTACCGAGATCGCTGTCTCTGTTACACTGCGACTGTTACCGTGGTTCAAGAACTCTGCAGACAGGAAAAGGTATCTGAGAAAGTCTATGTATTGCTTTACTATTTGAAATCTCCCCCGATGCAGCTCACTGGGATTTTCCAATGAGTTAATCAAGGTGGATCTTCAAGAAACGCTTCCTGCTCTGAAACCCATTTACTGTCTCTGGGGTTCACCAGCAGGGTGCTGGGAAGAGCTCTCTGAACTGAAGTTCGGGCAAGGTTGGGGAAGATGTTTCAGCTTCCATCCAGTGTCCTATCCAGGGTTCTTCTGGGATTGGCCTGACGAATACCAGGCAGTTCCACTCCAGCAGACACGTGAGCCATCCCCAGTACCTGCTATTGCAGCACAGGAGCCATCCCCAGTACCTGCTATTGCAGCACAGGCTCAAGTGTCATCACAGTATTTACTTACATTTATGTTGAGTTACACCTCAGATGTGTTTGTACTTCTTGGCAAAGGGAAGAGTAAAAATACGACCTATTAGGTCAAAGGAGAAAAAAGAGGAGAATCGCCCTGGATGGAAATTGTCCTCCTTAGACCTAAGACGTGGAACAACGTGAAACAGCTCAGGCCTTGAGAGCTCACAGACTAGCTATCCTTCAACTAGTCTGGAACGTCCTGTCCAGTGTGTGTGCAGAACCAGCAGCCCACGTATCACTGACTTGACACCCAGTCCTCTGGGCCTGGAAGTCTTCAAACACTTCATGTGTGAGGGGCTACACTTTGTAGTGCTTAGCAAGGCAGCGCTGGGATCAAGTGTGCATACTTCCTGCACTCCTCACTCCGATGGTACCATACTGTGGAAGTCTCCCTGGGGTGTCTTTGGATGGGGGTCGTAGGCACTTTGCTGCATTTATCCCCACGTGTATTCCTTGCTCACTTCATGCTCAGGACCACCAAAATCAGGAGGTGTCAGAGGCTTTGCAGAATCCATCAGCCTCAGTTCATTCCACAAGAATGGCAATTGCCATGTGCCAGCCAAGCCTGAATCAGAACCCTTGGATTTCAACAATGAAAACATCTTAGAGCTCCTGGCTCAGAGGAGTAGCAGCCTCAAGTCTTCTGTGCATTTGACTCCCAGTGCCAGTGTGCCCTCAATTCCACCTTTATCAATCTCATGCCCAACCCAGAAACCAGCAGGACGGCACGTCCAGCCTCACCCACCCGGACTGTGTGTCCCATTGCAATCTCTTCACTCCTCGGGGGACGTCCTACGTTAGAACTTCCCCAGCGTCCCTCACGCAGCCTGGGCCACCACCTCCTGGCCGGGCATGATGGCCCTCCTGAGTCAGTGCAGAAGCAAATTCCCACGGACTCATCGCGTGCTGGGTGCCTGCAGCCCTGGCAGCACAGGGCCCTTGTGCGTGCAGGGAACCCTGGAGAGGACCTGCCAAGTGCACCCTACAGGTCCAGCATCCCTTATCCAGAATGCTGGATCTGTAATCCATGGACCAGAAGTGTTTCCAATGTCTGATTTGTTTTTCAGACTGTGGAATATTTGCATTTATACTTACTGGTTGAGCAACTCAAATCCAAAAATCAGAAACCTGAGACGCTCACATAAGCATTTCCTTTGAGAGTCACGCCAGCGCTCAGAAAGTTTCAGAATTTAGAGCATTTTGGATTTCTGATCTTCAGATTTGGAATGATCAACCTGTACTATTTATGACACTATAAAGAAAATGGCAGGACCTAGGTCGATCAGCACCCCAATGTCCCTCCACTGCCTATGCAGAAAGCTATTTTCCTTTTTAAGGAACTATCTCAGACATGTGTTAAATATCCCCTACACACACCAAAAGAGAGAGAGAGAGAGAGAGAGAGAGAGAGAGAGAGAGAACAAACAGCCTTTCCTGGCAGGGCAGTTTTTGGTGTGAGTCCCTGGGGCTCAGGGGCATTGGGAGGCTGTGACTGCAGTGGGGACCTGCTGACCTTGAGCTCAGGGGCCTCCACCTGCTCTGCTGTAAAACCAGGAGGCTGAGCAAGGTGGCAGCTAACAGTCCAGCGGCTCGGACAGTGTGTGTGTAGGTAATCTTGGAGCCACACTGCGCTGTTAGCACAGACCGTCCCCAGGGAAATATGACTCGCCCGGGTCACCGGCAGGGCCATGGCCGAACCCAGGCGCCAGCTGAGTCTCCTGACGGCGTCCAGCCCACTTTCCACCACAGCCCGGCTCCCCGGCCACTCCCGGAATGCTCCTGACACGTTTAGGAATCATGACACCAGGATGAAACGTGAGCCTGTCCTCCAGTGCAGGGCACTATGTGTCTGATATCCCCATCCTAATCCTCCTGCGAACAGTATGTGGAGCCCATTCCTCATGTCACCAGATGTGTTTTAATTTGCAAAAAAATGTTTGAAGTACAAAACATTGACTTCCACTTAATGAAGGAAATTGTTGTTTGTACAGTTAAAAATGTCAAAGTCAATAAATACACCAAATTAAAGCATTTCTAGAGGGGAAATGGACTCCCAAACACACAGCGTTGGCCTGTGCCCCAAGTGGCTAAGTCCTTGGCTCCCAAGACAAGTTTTAGCTCAGGACTTGGTTTATTAAATAACGCCTTAAATTATCTTTGTTCTACGCTTTCTTTGAGTCCTGTTTTACTTCTACTTAGAAAGGAATGTGAAATGGAGAATTAGAAAAAGCCAGGTGTTCCCAGCGACGGCAAACCCCTTCCACATGCAACCACCCAGCCCCACTGGCTTTCTCCAGCAGGTTTCATCAAGAGTGCACCCTGAGAAGGCACAGCCTCTATCAGCAGAAGTCTGCAGGTTCACAGCACACCCAACGGCACCAAGAAGAAAACAGCCATGAGAACGCTGTCACTTTTGGGCAAGGATTATTCTCTTTCCCATACCCTGGAAAATATAGACTAGGTCTAAGCTGAATGACTCTCAACTCTTTTTTCCCCTAAGAAAATGTCCAGTTTTATTATTTCACACTTTTATAAGCCAGCTCTCTCCTCTGGGGAGGCTTTCATTTCTGAGTATCTCATGAAAATTGCAGACATCAGTCCCCTGACTGGGGGGCCCCTGGGGCCATGCTGAGACCAGGGTTAAAATCCAAAGCACACGCTGCAGCGTGCTGGACGGCACTTAGCAAAGACCACGGCTGTGGGAAATAAACTGTTAGTTGAGCATAAACTTTTGTCAAAGAAATACAGAGCCCAGAACTAATTGCTCTGTTTTCCACAGTGAAGGGTGCCTGCGAGGGGGTGCACTGGCTCTCTCTGCTTGACCCTGAAGAAGAGCCACTTAGAAAATGTGAGTGCAGAAGTTGCCAGTCCTCCTCTTAAAGCCACAAATTAGAAAAGGAAAGAAGAGAAAGACACTTACCCAGACAGAAAGGAAAATTGCAAGGAGGAGAGAGAAGCCCTGGCCACCAGCTCACCAAGCCACCCACACTCCAGCCAAGGAAGGCAGAGCTGACTCCTGCAGGCGCCTGTGCCTCCCTCCAGTTTAAGGTCTGAGGAGCTGCTATATATAGACGCCTGGGCCTGCCTCTCCCCACATCGATGCCTGCATCATAAATCACCAGCCTGACCTCAGGAGGAAAAGCTTCTTACTCAAATGGAGGGCGGTGGAAATCACAATTCAAAACTGGAACGTGTCCCTTCTGAGTCCCAAAGTGCACTTTTCACAGGAAACCGGGTGTGACACTTCAGCCCCTGACCCAGAAAGAGAGGGCAGGACGCTGACTTCCCATGCTCCCTCCCGCGACTCTCCTCCACGAGTTCTAATCCTTAGGTGTGAATCCTCAGACATATCTCCAACCCTTTCGAGCTACAGGTTCCCTGGCACATAAACTGATACCCCCGAAGGATTCTTTAATAATGACGGGGATTTCAGTGAGCATGTGGGCCATTCGCAGGCCTGGACTCCCGAGTTGGGGTCAGCTGTGGCGGAAGCAGGTGTGCAAGCCTGTGGGTTTGTGTGCGCGCGCGTGTGTGTGTGTTTGTGTGTTTGTTCGTTTTTTCATTTCAAGAACGACTCAGGTCTTCACTCGATTGCATCTTAGGGCTATTTTAGCAAGAACTGCCGACCCAGAAGAGGAGCAGTGCCTACTGGGCAAGTCGTGGCTTATTTATAGCCATTACCGCAGATGCCCACGGCGTCTACACCACACTGATAACCGCAGGGTGCCTGTCGTTTCGCACAGCGTGTGTCCAAATATAAATAACACACGCCTGGCACGGTCCTGGGCTGCAGCCTGGCCAAGAGGCGGGGCCTCAACGGGACGCCCCCATCTGAGAACCCGGACAGTCACACTCGGGCTGCACCTCCCCACAGGGGCTGAGGACTTGGGCCAGCTGCTCCGCCCACGGGGTCTCTGCTCCCCAGCTCCAAAATGCGTGTAATAACAACTTTCCTGTCAGTTTGTTGTGACGATTAGGGAAAATATGATATGAGAATTGCCTAGGAGCCTTAAGAAACTCCACATTCTCACACTGGGGCATCAGGGGCACAGCCAAGAAGCAGGGAGCAGGTGGATGGAGGCGAAGATCAGATATGAGAAAGATGTGAGCACAGCCTCTTGCTGGGCCCCAGTGCGTCCTGGACGCTGGATCAGGAGGCGAGTGTTTCTGTCTTCTTCTCCTTCATATTCCGGTGGCCTAGCATTTAATTTAATTAGTGTTTGTTGAGTGGCTTTTTAGCCTATTCAGGCTGCTTTAACAAAACACCATAGTCCCTGTAGCTTATAAAACACTGGAGCTTCTTTCCCACAGTTCTGGGGGCTGGAAGTCCAAGATCCAGGTGCCAGCAGACACTGTCTAGTGAGAGCCTTCTGGTTCTGGAATGGTGCCGTCCCTGAGTCCTCACTGCGTCCAGGGCCGAGGCCGCTCTTGGGGCGTCTGTGTGAGGACACCGATCCCACTCGGGAGGTTCTACCTCCATGACCTTGTCACCTCCCTAAGGCTCCACCTCCTCACACTATCATTTTGGGATTAGGGTTTTAACCCACATATTTTTGGGGGGGTGCAAACAGCAAGACCAGAGCAAGCAATGTTTCCTTCCCGTTTATCAGCATCTCCTTCCCTAGGGAGTCCAGTTCTCAGGGACCTGGGGGACTTTCCTTCAGCCCCTCTGACTTCCTGCCTCTGAGTGTGGCCAACACGGGAGGGGCAGTAATGGTGCCCTGTCCCCTCAGGTGGCATCTCCGTCCTCTGGGTCCCAGTCCTAGCATCTCAGGAGGGGAAAATCTCATCCCGGAGAGGGGCCTCTCCTGAGAGAAGGAAAGGCCAGCACACTCCTTCTCCTTATCTGACATTTCACGGTTGCTGTGCCCTCCTCCTGTGATATAGAAATTGAGTTTCCTACAGTGCCACATCTAAGAAAGCCTGGATCTTTCAGCCTCACCACCCAGAGAGCAGAGTGTGACCCGGGACACAGACAGGCTCCTGATGGGGACACAGCTTTGCCTTCTGCTGGGGACAGGAGACCCTTTCCTGCCCTCCTCATAGGCCCCTATCTCTCTGAGCCGTGTCTGCCCCTGCCCTCCCGGGACTAGCTGCCAGAACTCCCTGGGTGAGGTGCACCTGCAGGAAGCCTGGAGCCAAGAAGGGACAAAGGACAGAGGGAGGTGGTGGGACCAGGCACGGGCCCTGTGTTCTCCACCAGACACACCAGTTCTGGGGCAGACAGGCTCCTTCTTGCCGAAGCTCCTTGGGCTGGCTTTCTATCATCTGCCATCAAGAGAATACTAAGACAAAAGAGGAGTCCAGCAATCTCATTTCCACAGCTCAAACTGGCATCTCATTTCCACAGCTCAAACTGGCAGCCTGTGAATGGAAAACAGTTGACCTCACTGAGGATGTCCCATGACATAGAAAAGAAGATCAAAATGCAAAGAGCGACATTTTAAAACCACATGCCTTCAATCCTGTGGAATCCCAGGCCAGATCGTTCATGGGTGAAGTTACATTCTATAAAGCAACAGTCCCCAACCTTTTTGGCACCAGGGTTCAGTTTTGACAATTTTTCCAAGAACAGTGGGGAGGGGGGATAATTTCGGGATGAAACCGTTGCACCTCAGATCATCAGGCATTAGATTCTCATAAGAAGTGTCCAGCCTAGGTCCCTCACACGCGCAGGCCACAGTAGGGTTTGCACTCCTGTGAGAACCTAAGGCCGCGGCTCTTACAGGAGCTGGAGCTCGGGCGAGAAGAACACCAGCTGCTGTTCACCCTGCCATGCGGCTCCTCACAGGCCACGGACCCCGAGGCTGGGGTTCGGGACCCCTGTTACGTTGCACAGAGCCAAAACCGACATTCGATTCAGGAAAATCAGTTTGGATATTTGAAAGAAATAAAATTATTCTTAAGATATTTTGTTCACTTCCATGCATTCCATCTCAGAAAACAAAAAGTGCTCCTGTGTATTTTAGAAATTATCCATTCAACAGGCCAAACATTCAGTTTTGTGATTCAAAGGAGGACGGCTCACCGGAAAGAGGCTTCACAGTTGCAGCCACAGCACAGAGGGGAAGGGGCAGGGGGTCACCCTCCATGTTCTCCCAAACCAGGGGGGGATGAGGCCAACAACCAAGGCATCTGGTCCCCACGGAGCACGTGTGCACAGGCCGCAGAAGGGAGACCGGAAAATCTGGAGGCAGAAAACTCCCTTGAGGGCATCAACCCCCATCAGCACTGCCTCTCATTCCCAAACCCTGAAAACCTGAATCTCAGAAAACAGGCCCACTTTAAAGAAAAGTGTTTTTTTGTTGTTGTTGTTTTGTTTTTGTTTTTTGGTTTTTTTTTATTGATTGATTGATTGAGATGGAGTCTGGCTCTGTTGCCCAGGCTGGAGTGCAGTGGTAACCTCCAACTCCTGGGTTCAAGTGATCCTCCCACCTCAGCCTCCCGAGTAGCTGGGATTACAAGTGTGTGCCATCATACCTGGCCTTTTTTTTTTTTTTTTTTTTTGGTATTTTTGGTAGAGACAAGGCTTCACCATATTGGTGAACAGGCTGGTCTTGAACTCCTGTCCTCAAGTGACCTACCCATCTCGGCCTCCCAAAGTGCTGGGATTACAAGCATAAGCCACCATACCCAGCCTTGTTCCTTTTTTCTGTCTTTAGAATGTCTTTCTTCCTATCTATGCTTGTGCAGTTCTTATTTAGAATTCAAACCTCAAGAAAATCACATCCACTTAGATGAGTTAACTGCAAAGTCTAAACGTGAACCTTCTGAAAATGCTGATTGTGAGGGCAACCTTGTTTAGAGAAATACAACTGTCACCTTCTTAATTTCCAAGAAGTTCAATAGATGTCTCTTTGAGGCCATGCTTAATCCACTAATTGATGAAATAGGTCGCTAACATTCAGAGGAAGCACCTTCCTTCTAACATTTCACTAAGTCAGTTAAACACGTGTCCACAGAAAGTAGCAGCTCAGTAATGAGGAACCCTTTACCGACGTGAATCACTACAGATTCCCAATGTTTCCACCATTTCTGAACCATTTTCCAGGAAAGTAGGAAAAGAAATGCTTAGGTTTCCTTAGCTTGTTTTTTCTTTTCTGTGTAATTTTGACTTTATTTTATACTCCCTAGTAAGTTTACCTGCTACCTCTTTTGAAGCCAACATTAATGTAACTACACATCAATTTCTGAGTGAAGATTTCCCCAACTGCACCATCTTACTCTTCCCCAGACACTCTCGCCACAGCAGCCACCAAAGTGTTGGCTTCTTCTCCCCAAACATAGCACATTCTCTGTGCTTAATAAAGGAGTTCTGAATTAACTACCCAATGAATGGATTCGAGAGACATGAAGAACTTACTATTGTTAAGTATAACAGTTAATAGTGGCTCAGAACTAAACAGAAATATACAGCATTGACAAAGCTAGGCTATATTTAGTAATTCTTTACCTCAGCTTAAAAATATATATGGTAGACAGACAGACAGACAGATAGATAGATATTGATATAGATAGATATAGACACTTTAAATATATATATACTTTTAAATACATTTAAATTAATATTTATGGAACGTTTACTATGTCTCATAGTACCTGCATGCCTTAATACTCTAACTCTATGTAGTGGGTAATATATAAGACATGCGATGGCTGAAGTAGACTTTCACTTTTATCTGTGATACAGTTGCTTCTAGTAGGACAACATTCTTACCCAGAACAAGTAACAATCCAGACAAAATACAGAGAGTGAGAGATAGAGAAAGAGTAATGAAAGAAAGAGAGAAAAACAGAGAAGTGAATGGACACATGAGCTGATGGGCAGATGAATAGATAGACAGATGATGATGATGATGATGATAGGTTAGATTGACAGATTGATTGATAAAGAGATTGATGATATATAAGCTACATGATAGATAATAGATGATAGAGTGATAGAAAGATAGAAAGATATTTACCTTTAATAGATATATTAATATCTATTAATATTAAGAGAAAAACACTGAATGAATAAAAAATAAAAACACCTTTCTTTTCTATTTTTGAGTTCTAGGATTATCTTGGATATCTTCACTCTTTTCTTCTACAGTAACATGCTATCAATC